CCTCGCGGCAGACATGGTGGTTTTGGTGAAAGGGAGGGGCTTAGCGATCCCCGGAACACGCTTTACACGGCAGGCATGGGTGAAGACTGACTGAAATAGAAATTTTAGCCTCGTTTAAAGTGATGGTGTCTGATACGGCGTTCGGTGTGACTGTCAGAGGATGTGACGTCACCTGCGAGCGCTTGAGCAGTAGTAGCTGGTTGATTGAGTCCGTTGAAATGAAAAGCGAGGAAGACGCGACATTGAACCCGTACAGGCCTCTGCCTTACATTCACAGCACAGAACAGAAGGCTAGTAGTGTCATCAGTTGTTCATGACCGTCCTCAAAAAGGGGGTTGAGGTGGGGATCGCCTCGAGAAGCGTCCGCGGAAAATAACAGAGGGTGATTTGGGTTTCCGAAGTGAGTACAGGGTGTGCCCTATGACTTTCGCCATGCTGTCGGAGGCCAGTGCTTAGAAAGGGCTCACATGATGGCTGGAACTTCCACAAAGTAGCCAACTTTCTCCACAATTGTGCCAGCGCACGCCAAGGTCTTTCCGTTGCGAACGTACTGTTGGCTAGGCTACGTTGCGGCTAGTTGATAATCTAGATACAACTTACGTTAGAGGTGAGAGAAAATGGGAATATTAGAAAGCGTACTTACGGAGAGGAGCGGGTCACATTTGAAGGAAGTAGTGTCGAGCTGCGGAGCCATGTGTGCTCCTCCTCCGGTCTCCACAACCTACGGCATGCATTAACTTTGTGAAAGATGAGATATGACTCGTGATTGCATGTTAGGAATTTGTGCGGCGCCACCCCTAGATATGAAATCGAAGCCCCCAGTTGCGGACATGCTTCTGGATTGAAAGAAGAAGGTGAAATTGTGACTTGAATGGAAACAAACGCTATGTAGGCATAACGAATAGTCAGTAGATAGAATTTTGACGTGTCGCCCCAGCTCACCTGGAGGACAATAATCCCAAGTTGTCATGAAGATGCGCGTCGACGTAGTTCATGCCCGCGAATGTCGTTGCAGTGCTACCAGTTGATGTTCCAGGTGCCAGCACTCGTTCTGGCCAAAATGATCAGAAGCTTTCCTTAACATGTTGATCAGAAGTTTAACCCAATACGCACCACCAACCCAAGAAAAAAGAGCGTGCATGTTGGATCGTGTTGGGTGAAAATCTAGATAGGAGCCAAGACCTAGTATAATAGGTTAGCACATACACAACAAAGCCAGTAACGAGCCTTACTTTCAAAGCAAACCGGTAGAACGTATTGTGAGGTCGCCCCGTTCCCGTTCCTCCGAGGCATCGAAATCTAACCACTAGGCGTCTTTCTGAAACGTGACACGACGAAGTTCCACGGCGCAGTACGGAGAATGCGCTTCGCGACAAGATGAGTCGCGTTGGCGTTGGCATTTCTCAAAAGACGAGCATCGATTGTAGATGACGAGGCTCATGTCGACCTTTCCCTGAGGGATTCTGCAAGACGTAGGCCCCAGCTCGGACGTTCCGCAAAACGGGTGGTTCCCTGTGCCAACACCACACGACGGATCTTCGCATCCGCTGTAGTAAAGGGTTGAAGGTTGTGACAGTCGTGAGAGGCGCCCCCCGCTCTTCCACAGGAATAGCAATAACCTTGGTTCGCTCAACAGTTCTTCACACTAAACTCTGGATAAGTATCTTCGCCAGTAGAATGAGCATGACGCAACTCACAATCTCGGTAACAGCCATCCCAAGGTTTCGTAAATCCATTAGCCTCCCCTTGATGCCCTTCGGCTCCTCTTGAACGAGGTAGTGAAACCTCAGCTACTGGCATCCAGTTAATACTTGCGAATCTTCGTCATAAAGATCAATCTGATGAGTTGGTTGAAGAAAACCCGAAGAAGACCCACCTCATAAGGCCTCACGAAAATAGGTAGTCAATTTGAGTGTAGCTCAGGACTTGCGTAGTCAAGTTGGTCACGGCGTCGCTGGCGTTTCTAACCAGACCAAACGCGAACTTCGTCGAACATCGCAACCTCTCCGATTGAACCTAAGCTGTTAAAGTTTAACGTTAATCGCCACTTATTGAGAGAATATCGTTGAAGAGTGTACTGGGATGGAATGAATAAAACAAAATTTCCCTCTCAGTGGGCGAAACATTGCTGACTCATGACGCATGATCAACGCCTTCATCGGCGAGCATGCGCAATAGCTGAAATTCCACGGTCACGGCGAAGAAGGCAACGTTTGGACCTATGGCGGTAGTGAACAGGTGAATGTAGACAACTCAATCAACAAACATTACGACTCATTCCTCCTTATCATCCACTTGGCCTTGAGTTGCACCACAAACACTGCAGAAAACTTTGTGACAAAGGTATGTACGTCTCTCGAATTTTGAACTTCCTTCTCACAATGTAAAATTGCCACCCTCTGAAGTGCGTGATGATCAAAGGCCTTTTCACCGGCCACCACTCTGGAAACACCCAAAAGTGTTCGTACAGATAACCTCCTCAAACAGCTTCATGATGTCGAAGCAGGGGCGGTTGAAACCTCACTGAAATCTCGACAGGGGTGTTTCGATTTGATTCCCATATTATGACTGGCACGCGGCCCTTCCTCAGCAAAGTAATCCTCCAACGTTTTCCTCTGGTTTTCCTTCCGCCTCAATCCCCCATTCCATTTCGAATCCCGCGTCTTCCACCTCAATTGCCTCTTCCCCCATTTCAAATGCTATCAACCCTTCATCCAGACCCTCATCCAAACTTCCATGTACGCCTTGATCAACACAAACTCTGCCTCGTCATTTCCGCGTGATCGCTACGCAAAGTTCTTCCTCCACTACTAGAATCAACGTGTTCGATGATGGGTGGGCGCAGCGCGCGGCTGAGTTGTGGGCCTGAATGACGTGAAAGGTAGTTGAGATACAAAAAGGTTGGACTTGGGATACAACCTCGATTCCACGCAATACGCACATAATCTCTCGGAATCGGGAATCATCGTTTGTTGTACCTCTCAAGCCCAATCTCAGACGGCGGATGCGAACGAGAGGGAGGGATGTTTACGCGGAGCATGTTCATCCATTAAACCGTTGCAGGAGTGTATCGTGCATGGTAGGGGTGTTGCTCCTTCTTTGGACTCTTGGACGTCGACTTCATCTTCGTGCCATTCACTCCTGCTACCGTGGCGTGGCCTTGTCGAGTCCATCTTCGACCCCACTTCGTCGAGTTCAATTTTGGATTATTCTGAAAAACTGAAACCAGGATGGCCGACTACGCCCACAAATCAGCCAACACCGGCTCCATCTACCTCTCCGCCATCTCTGAATCCGACCTCTACTGCCGCTACGTCCCAGGCCTCGTCGGCGATCGCCTATTTCGCATCTTTTCGGTCTCAAGAAGGAAGGCCCCTGGCTAGGTTCTCAGCTCCTACTCTCAAACTCCATGGGCCTCCATGACTTTCGTGAAGATGTCGATCAGCAACGGTACTTCTGGCCCGAGAGATTTTTGGGTAGGAGGAGTTTAGTTCAAAGAGATAAAGGACCTCTATGAGCCTGTGGCTTTGTAGACAGCGACATGGATGCAGAGCGGGGTGACCTCAAGTGTGTGGAAATTTCGATCTTGCGCCCTTTACGGTGAGTTGTTTCTTGCGCTTCGCCCCTTTTCTGAAGCTGACTGTTCTTGCCGTTAGGGACATCGTGGCGTTCGCCACCATCTGATTTCTTGACTACTGGGCGGGACATATCCTTCCCTCACAAAAGTTGGCCCTCGGTTCAAATGGCAAGTGTGAAAGTGGTGTCTTACGGTTTTATGGAAACTTCTTGATCTAGTTATGAATCGAAAAGTGAAGTTGCGCGTCATCGAGGCCGCCAGCAATGCACTCTTCGGTGTCATATTCTCCAGAGTGACAATGTTTGTGGGCCCAGCCTCAGGTTCAAAACCGAGCACCCTTCCTGTATTCGAAGCCACATTGGAATTAGTAGGTTTCTGCCCAGTGTGCGAAGGGAGCAGGATTTCCCTTCCCATAAGCCGTGGCTGCAACTTGTTACGTGTTAGGCACTGCCAGCCTGGCTCATACAAACTAGCATCTACGCACTGTTTGTGAGTTCTTCTTGAGCTTATTACCTTGTACAAAGTTGATCATTCTAGATATAAAGCGAATCGTCCCCCACTCCAACTCTCACACACTCCCTGATAATCAGTCGCGACAAATCTTGACCGCAGAAGGGTTTCACAACTCGATGCCCATGATCGGCTCAGCTTGTGGAATCGTCGTATGTAAGGGCCTACGCCCTCTTGAAGTGTTTCACCAAAATGACGTGTCAAATAAGAGGGGGCAAACTCGTGCATCTCATCGCTGTCATAGGATACAAGCAGGACATCGACGCTTCAAGTGGAGGTGCGTCTGTCATATCCGTTCTCACTTATCTGTATGCTTACCAACAACAGGTTCAGGATCACGACGACAGTCACGACACCCGATGGTGCGGACAGTTTAACGTGCTGAGATGGTAAGCCCTCATCGACGGGAGGTCTTCATATCTGATCTATCAATCAGTTATCTTTCAGGCTGCCAGAAAAGCGCTACTCACTGTTCAAGACGGACTAACCCACCCAATTTTAACCAACGGTTTCTCACCGCCGGCTTCAAATCCAGTGGCCAGAGCTACGTAGACGTGCGGTGCTGCTTAGCGCGGAACGGAAGAAGCTGGTCTGTGCGGTTAGGTGGGTCGAGTGTGATGTACGAACTGTGTATACTTATCTTGGCTTTTCTATTAGGGCAATGGGAAACGACAGAATGGAAGGTCGATTTCAATGCAACCACCCCACCAGCTATAAACCCTTGTTCGAGACTGGTTGGAAGAACTGCACCAGCCATGACGTCGTCAAACTGGAACCACAAAAGCTTCGCATTCAGGACTTGAATTGGATTGAAGAGTCGGAATCGCGGTGGTACGTTGTCTACTACGCCTATGTCGCATCTCCCTAAATCCTTCCTGCACAGATCGGCCCTACAATCCCTGCCACTCGACAGGAAGGTCATGTGTAATTACGGACAACCTTTTCCGCTCAAATTCAAATTGCAAGGTCATTGTGAATGTCACTCATTCTCGTTTGTGACTAAGTATCTTTGTCGTAACTAATGTAATTACTGAATCCTATTGTAGATCGCAGGCACAGGACGACCCGATTGGATACAGCTTTCAGTCTTCCGACAAACATCACCACTTCGACTCCTTGAACCCCAGGAATAGCAGTCACCAGCTCTGTCCAAATTGACGTCCGTTTCGAGTTTGGATCGCAGGGGTATTCCCAGTGCGGCGTCCCAGAGACAGGCGCTTCGAACGTGTGGAAATTGAGTTATGAAGCAAAGCGTCATTTGCTGCTCGCCGTCGCTCTTCAGCGTTGCAAACGCTCTTTGGCTGTGGATACACTGAATGCTTGAAACGAGCCAGGGCAAAGTCGTTAATCGTACACTAACAAAGTCTCGTTGAGGGCTTGCCCGCCCAAGTGGTAGCAACCCCATCTAAGAGGAACTGGGGAAAAAGGTAAGCATACATCCAGTTCTTGGGGTTGTGCGGCGTAGTTCTGATATTTCTCTGTGGCTAGCTTGCTGTTGGACGATAGAACGACGCGCTACCCCTGACGGCAATGAAGAAAAGGGCGAACATAGTTTGATAGGGACAGCGTGAGTTGTGTCATTCGATGCGGATCCACATTGCTTACAGGCTTTCATGTAGCCTTCTTTCCTGATGGTGGGGAGCATACTCAAGATCGAAGGTACGCCTTCAAGTCACCAGTGGAGTGGAAACCTACACGGACGTCGCGGTTCACGGACAAATGCGTAGGGGGTGTGAGAAGGGAAAATGGGGGAGAACAGTGATCTTGGCTGAGACGGGGACTTCATTGGCAAAATGGGATGGCACATCACGATAGAATTGTAGCTGATGATCGTACCAAGTAGGATTTAGTCTCATACTGCTCATGTTACAGCCACTTCTTCAACCTTCCGGGTCTTCAGTCACGGTAGTTTAAGTCCTCTAGTACGTGGTCAATGAAGGAAAATGACGTCCTAGATAGAAGCCCGGTGCCGAGGAGACTTGTCTATACTAAGTGGCGAACTCATGCCACTGCTGGAGCTCGAATGGCGACTCGAAGGGGCATTCACCTGGACTG